CCTGCAGGACATTACTTACTTTGATAATAACATAGTGCATACAGTAAAGCACATTATGATGCCCGTCTTCTAAACAGGGTAAAGAAATTAGTCATACACAATGTGTCATATCCCCTGTTAACACGATAAAACTTTCAAAAATGCCTCTTGCTATGGTTTAATTTCCCACTAAAACTTTATGCCATGTCGAGTGCTCCTCTTTCCTGTCTGCAGCGTTGCCAGCGCGGCGAGAGCTCGGACCACAGAACGAGCCGTAAGTGGTAGTGAACCTCTCTGGCTCATCTCTCTTGAACTTTATCTCTTGTTACCACCATAGCTGCAGATAACAGTTGTGCTGTAGAGAGGACAACTATTCAATAAAACTCCGAGACAACGAGTGACATGATTTGGACAGCGCGGATAAGTACCGCGCTTAAAGTGGACACAAAAGTGCTTTGCAGATAAATGTGCAACCATCCACATGGCGCGTTCTCCAGCCGACTGTGTGTACAGGCACTCTGTCCATTATGGCGGGCAATCAGGAGCAAGGCTAGAGCAAGGCAGGGATATTAGACCAGTGCTTGACTAGAGGATGCTGTCACCAGAATAGATGTAGCCCACTGATTAGCCAATAAGAGCCCCCATTCTAACCATTTTTATTTTATTTTTACACAATAATATGGGCTTCTTTAGAACACAATGTTGTTGGAAAGTAGCAGATCTGCCATCCTTCAAACAGCAGACATGGTCGAGAAATGTACTGATAATAATTTAATGGGTATTATTCATGTTTTTTTTGTACATTTCTCTGATTTGTTGCCAAATTGCACCTTGTTGTGACAACAAAACTGAAATTAATTGTTTTTTCAGATCAAAAAATTCTATTTAGTTTACAAGTGTAACCTTCAAAGATCGTGGATGTCGGGTGCCCCTATAGCTCACCTAGTTGAGCGGGCGACCCATGAACGGGGCTACAGTCCCCGACGCAGCGGTTGTGGGTTCAACTCCCGCTCACAATCCTTTGCTGCAGGTCTTTCCACATTCTTCTCCCCCCTTTCCTGTCTCTCTCTACTGCCCTAAAATAAAGGCAAAAATATATATTAAAAAAAAAAAGATCGTGGATATCAGGAACTTTTGCTTGATAGACGACTGACGTGAGTTGTTAGCAAATTAATGTTTTATTTTTTAGTTTTTTGAGCATCTGAATGCTTGCGTTTTCCCAAACATCATGGTCACCACATGTATCCTGCGTGTCTTGGGTTATACTCAAACAAAAGGGGCAGTGCTGGTAGTCAACTAATATGTTTTTTTTCCCAGGCTGATACTGATTATTAGTAATCAAGAAGATCATTTACTAACCAATATATATTTGCACTAAAAATGAAAAACCTTGTGCAATAATGTAGCATTAACACTCCAGCACAAAAATAGATGGAAATACGTTTGTTTTTTCTATCTTTTTCCCCCTTTGTTTGCATATGTTTGATTAAAAGACAACTGTTACACTTTTATCCTTCAGTGTTCATATGCTATTGTTTGTGACATGTGCTTAATCAGTGCTGTTACTACAGATGTAAAAAGAGTCATCAGAACCAAAGTTATTTTATTGGGAATTGGATAAAAAATACCAATCATTAAGGAATATCGGAGCTAATAATCGGCAAGGTCAGTCATCCGTTCACCACTCAGCAGAACTCGGCTTGATATGACGTGAACAAGACGTGCATTAGACTCTGGACAACAGCAGCAGCTGAACATACTGAACAGAAACTGACTTGTTGCTGTCGGTGCCTTTTTCATTTTATGTGTTTTAGTCCTTATCTCATTAACAATACTAATCTCCTGATGTTATACACTGCTTTAAGTTCTGCACAAGACTATTTTCATTTGTTGTGTATGATCTGTTTGACAATCATCAGCTGCCTTGTAAAATACAGTAACGACAGCTACCATTGTGACCACATTGTGTACGGCCGCGTAAGTGTGCTCAGATTGTGAGATATTCAAGCTATTTAGGTGTAGTGCTATTATTTATAACACAAGGTCTAAAAGAACACCGGTCTTTATCTGCACAAGAGTGTCTCTCTCTCTCTCTTTCGCTTTCTCTCTCTGCATATTTGTTTGTTGTGGTTTCCATGGAGACGTTCGCTCATCGCCGTGTGTTAGGGCTGAGAGTACTTGACCTGTCTTCCTGCCCAGGCATTAGAGGTCGCAGTGGTCACAGTCGACAACCTATAAAACTGCCCGGTTTCCATGAGATACGTTTCCTGTACACACAGAGATAAATATACAATCTTCCCTGTGTATTTCTGCATTGTAAGTCCCTGCATTCACACATACATCCGCAACTCGGTTTCTTTACGTCACACTTCTTTTCTTTGTCTGTGACTCTGATGTGAGTCATGCAAATGGTTTTGTGGGGGGGGGACCAAAGATAAAAATGAAAAATGAGGTGATGGCTACGAGTGCAACAGAGGGAAGATGCATACAGCTCTCTTGCTATTACAACTCTTTGTGTGTGTGTTTGAGTGTGTGATTGCTTGGACTGTGTCTTGCCCATCAAGCTCTGGTGTCATCTTCCTGCCATCTGCCACTGCCACCCTACTGACATGCACGCACAAGCATACATGCATGCAGACATGCACACACGTCCTGTATCCAGCTTTCTTATAATACTCTGTCTATTGAAAACCCTCGTCTGTTCTGTTCTCTTCGTAGGTTTTTGTTTGTTTACGTATGTTTTCATGATACGGGTTTTTAGTATCTCATGTTTGTTAAAGAAACAAAGGAAGCAGGCTTTGCCCGGAATACGAAATTCCAGAAATGCATTGGGTGTGCGTTTGTGTGTACGATATGAATATTTAATTCAGCCCCTCCCTCCATCATGTATTAATCATGGAGCAGTCTGCTTAGGCTGAAAATAGCGCCTAGCAACCCAGAAAAACAAAATCCATAGTAGTTGTGGGTATGTCATGTGCTGCTGCTCGCTCATGTGTGACACAGCACATGGTCTCCTTTCACATTTTCCTCTCTTCCACATGAGGTTTCCTCTCCTCGTGTCTGTCTCCACTGATGCAGAAGTGATGGCGATGAAGTGATGTTTCCAGCCATACTTTATATTTGCTTTTGAGTCTGTAAAGCGCTGATGTCTTTAAAATGTTTATTCGATTTAGTCTTGGACAATATTTTGTTGTGTAGCGCACGCTTTAACTAAACTCTGACAACCTGCGGTTGTTTGCACTGACACCCACTGAGTATAGACACAGTTAGAAATATGCAACTTTCTGGAGTTTTCTTCCTGAAAGTGGTGATAATTGCAGGATTGCTGACCCCACCATCCCCACAAGCTGCCAGTCTTAAAGATAAAGTAATGTAGGCTGAGTGATTGCATAATTTCAGCGGGGTAGACAGAAACTCGGCGCAGAGACTCAACAAAAGAGCTTAAATTCAAGCTCAGCAGGTACGAGAACGGCTGGTAATAATGGTAATAAACTGGCTGAGTGTCACACGGAAGCTGAAATATCTTCACGGTGGTAACCCTAGAAACACTCTAAGATGTATATTAGCATGCCTCTTACAATTCAGTCCAGGAGGCTAATTATAGCATGCTTTGTGTCCTGTGCAGTCAGACACTGATAGGGCATTTAAAAGGCTTCATTCCATCACATTAACTTTAAAAAACAACAACAAATAAACAAAAACAAACAACGATCATGTGTTGCTGACATTTCGGTTTAATGATGGGTTCACACACTGGGGGAACTCATGATCTTCCTCATATAGTAAAGCAACACAATGATAAGGTTTCAGTGCCAAACAGAACATTTTCACTTTGATCTTGTGATTGTCTTGCTAAAGACCAGTCAGAATGCACAAGCCCCTAATGGCTGCAGGGGTTTTGGTTTGCACATTTAATGTTAACTTACCCACCTGTTTCTAAAATTGGGGGAAAAAAGGATGCAATTCCTGTGCTGCTCATCTGATGTCCCAAGGTGTGCCCTGAAATTAGAAATTAGGCCTAAAGCTAGCATTTCCCCCTTTTTTTACTGTTTTGTTTTGCACCCAGTATGCTGTCACACATACAAAAAACTGCTTCTATACCAGGGGTGGGCAATCCTGGTCCTCGAGGGCCACAATCCTGCATGTTTTAGATGTTTCCCTCTTCCAAGACACCTGATTCAAATGATCAGGATCGTTATCAGAGCTTGATGATGAGCTGATCATTTGAATCAGGTGTCTTGGAAGAGGGAAACATCTAAAACATGCAGGACTGTGGCCCTCGAGGACCAGGATTGCCCACCCCTGCTCTATACCATCCTGACCACACTGCTAATGTTTGGAGTGTATTACAGCTTTTTTAGGAGAAAAAAAATAAAAAAAACAGAACGTGTTTACACCTGATACAAGGTCAAATCATGACAGTTTAAAAACCTTTTACCTACAAGATATAATTATTAATTTCATTAAGATTATTTATAGAAATTCAAATTTATCAGGGCCAAGAATTGTTAAAATTACTTTCCAGTCATTGATTACCAACCAGGCTCCGAGACAGACTTTAAACCTAGTTCTAAATTAACAAATTTCTGAACCAGATTAACCAACTTGGATTCCTCATACACGGGCTGAAAATGTTCTTCGCATAGTGTGAATTAATCTTCTGACAGAAGAATACACGAGCACTTATTATTAATTACTCTTACCAAGTGTAACACGCTTAATGTTTATCAGATCCTTTTAACACTGTGAAGACTGACATCATGCTTGTGAAAGATTTTTCTTTTAAATTTTGTTTTGTTTTTTACTTTTCCCCCCCTCAGATTTCACTAATCCAAACTTCACAAGCGTCCCAATCCACGTGTAACTACTGCCTCCCATGAGGCTCACAGAAATGGTTGAAATGAATCCTATTTACCTTAATCCGGTGTTGCGCAATCCAGGCATACCTGACAATTTAAAGTCTGTCGTGATACTAGCTTTGCTGTTATGCCGGTGACCTAACTTTTCTTCCTCTGTGACAGGTGGATTGAGCAGCAAGGAGCAGCCTCTAGAACTTCTCAAACCGACTTCACGCAACCATTTTGGTAGGACTTCTATGTGTGTGTGTGTGTGTGTGAGCGGATAAGTTTGTTGTTTTGCGATTGTTGGGGTTCACAAATGCTCATCATTTGTCGCGTACAAATCAGTGGCTGAAACCCAAAGAGATGTACAAGCAGAACGACTGAATCTTGCTTGAACTCAGTGAGTGATTTGATGAAAACACGGAGCTCAGCCTCTGCGTTCATTCAGTAACGAGCAACACTTAACACATGTATAATGCTCAAATCAGTCTTGTGGAGTTTTGCCTGTTTGTTTTTACATATATTTTGCATTTAGTGTCAGCAGAAGAAAAGGTTTTTTCTTAGGCTTGATTTGATTAGTTTTCCTTGTTTCTGTATTCTATGTGTACCACCACTGACTCCTTTCCTACTTTGATAGCCTTCAGAAACACCCTCTCTTAGCGCTGACTGATTGATCCAATCATGTATTAGTGTGCAATGCAACCTCAGGTGACTACAGAACAGCGGTGCTCAATGGGGGATTTGGTGCTATCGTGGGTACCTTTCCTTGCTAATGGCTTAAGAATACACTCCGTCAGTGTCTGTTTAGGAGGAAACTTATCATTTAGTCCAAAAGCCTGCAATCATTTCCACCAGCTGACGTTGCATATTGTTTTTAGAACATGACAATGTATTATTCAGCGGCCGACTCCGTTTGGAGTTTGCGCGTTCTATGCCCACGCACGTGCGCATTTACGTGAACGTGCATGTAAACGGAGGAATTTTTTTTGGAGCTTCGCGTCCCTGTTGACAGGATGATCACGCCACATCAGCATGTCATCAACCCACAAGCGGTATGTTTGTCCCCATGTGGCAGGAGGAAATGCTGAGGCAGCAGTGATGTCACATCCATGGGTGCCAGGACTTGGCGCTGGTAGTCTGTTAATGGCATGTTTTAATGACTGCAGCGGTGACACATGTAATGGCGTAAACACACAGACAGATGTTTGCACGTACAGCGTCGTGTAAAAGTTTTAAGCGTCTCAGGTGTTTAGATTCTTATCCTTTACGTACCGCCATCGGGGAGAGACGTCTGATTGGTCCCAAATTCATTGTGAAGCCTGACAGTGAGCTCGCTCAAACAGTCAGAAAGAACTATCTTCGGTAACAACAAGGAGTCCTGCAGCAGATGGTATAGCCCCCACAGAGCCCTGGTCTCAACATAATGGAATCAGTTGGAGATTACATGAAGAGACAGAAGACACTGAGACAGCCTGAATGCACAGAAGAAAAGTGACGCTTCAAGATGTTTTCAACAAGCGAACCGCCAAGTACCTTGAAAAAGTGTGCGCGAGTGTATATACAAGAAACAAGGCATGGTCACATCTAATGCTGATTTGATTTAGCTTTTTTTTCCATTTACTTTTCTTTCTTTGAATTATTATTTGAGTTGTCAATGACTATTTTTTTTACATTTAGTGGCTAAAAGTTTTAGAATAACACATACAGACACAAATAAAACTTGTCATAGATTACAGGGATTATATGAACCCTGGGCTGGGCTTTCTCCTAAAACTCCTCCTGATTATCTATGCTGTCAAACAGCAGCTTTGAAAATATAATAACACATTTACACTTATATAGTTATTCTCTATTTAGACCAGTCTGAACAAGCCAACATATGTTATCTAACCCTCCTTTGTTTCCCCGCTCTTGTCCTGGGCTGAACGTGGGTTAGATATCTGCCTTTGATGAGCTGGCATCTTTAATACGGACAGAAATTAATTTAGTGATATTGACATTTATAGGTCATCTCAATGACTCCCTACCAAGTGAGAGAAACAGGAGAGATCGTGGACGTGTGGGCGAGTGAGCATACTGAGAGAAGAAGAAGAAGTAAATGTGAAACTTTATGGCGTTCTGTAGTTCTGTGGTTGGTAAAAACAGCTCCACTGTAGCCCACGTTCTCTGCTAATCGTGAGAGCTAGAGATTAGCTGTCTCTGGTGGATGGGACCAGTGTTGGTTCAACACATTGGACCTCTGTCATACACACATTTTCTGTATTTCTGGGCTTTTGCTGTGCATGTAAATGTATTTCCATAGACAGTGATGAAATTACACAACCCCAAAAAAATATCAACAATGAAAAACAATCCAGAAAAAACTTTGACATTTTTTTTTCCTACTGTTTAATCTGAACTTTAAGTAGTCTGTGGGTGTTTTTTTTTTTTTTTTTGCATTCTCATACATTCTTTACTACTATATAAAGTCTAGAAGGAGAGATAAGTTAGAATGCCATACATTATAATAATAAAAAAAAAAGAAATGAAATGAAAAAGTTTACTATTAGTTATACAAAAATCTAAGATAAAAAATGCTGGAATCAACATGTACAACTTTATTCTGAGTGCCCACTGTTGTTGCCAATACTCCACACACTAGAGATAATTTACTACTTTGAATTTTAGTGTTTCCAAACTTGTCTGCTATCTGCTTTGTGTGAACACAGCCTGCAGTTCAGCCAAAAAAAACCACCAAATCTTTGTCACAGAATTTTTTTCTGGCAAATATTTTAATGACAATTGTAGATGATGAAATGTCACAACTTTAAGCTCTTTCCCTGACAGAACTATGAGGTGTGTCGGAAAAGTTCCAGGACTGGTGTCACAAAAGATATATTTCAAATCCAAACTACAAACTACAAGTTTTCCCCTTCAAACTAACCCCCCTGGAGTCTAGCACACTTCCCCAGCCTCCTCTGCCTTCACGCCGCCATGCACTCCTGGAAGGATCCTCCACAGCTCTGTCGTCACATCCATCTTGATGTCGTCCACGTCTTCTAAACGAGTCCCCTTGATGACCCCCTTGAGCTTGAGGAAGAGGAAAACATCACACAGAGCCAGGTGGGGTGAGTAGGGAGGTTGCTCCAGCACAGAGATGTTCTTCTCAGCCAGGAACTGTGGGATGCTCAGGGCGTTGTCATGGTGAAGCAGCCACGACTCGTCCTGCCACAACTCTGGCCTCTTCTCAAACGAAGTAAACGCTGCAAGATCTCTTTGTGCTGGTTGATCTTCTGAAGGGGAAAACTCCTAGTTTTTTAGTTTGGGTTTGAAATATATCTTTTGTGACGCCAGTCCTGGAACTTTTCTGACACACCTCGTACATGTAACACAGAACTAAAGTTTCAAAAAACTGATGTTCTTTCTGTTTTTACAGTTTCTTTTTTTTAAAAAGACATGTCTTTAAAACCCACCGTTGGGTGTTTGAGTTCAGATATGGCTTATGAATGGATGTTGGAATGGAATGTGATATAAAGAGACAAACACGGGTAAACAAATTACAGAAAAAACAGCGTCCTTGCTAGGAGTAGGGCCTCCATGTGTTGCCAGAACAGCTTCATTTCTTCTTGGCATTGCGTCTACGAGTCTGTGTAGCTCTATGTGAGGGATGAACACCGTTCTTCTAATAGATGTTCCCTCATTTGGTGTTTTGATGATGTCGGTGGAGAGCGCTGACTAACACGTCGGTCCAAAATCTCCCATGAGTGTTCAGCTGGGTTAAGATCTGTTGACCGCGGAGGCCATAACGTGGTTCACATCATTTTCACACTCATAGAACCATTCACTGACCCCATCCTGGAAGAGAACACCGCCATCAGATTAGAAATGTTCCATGGCAGGATAAAGGTGATCACTCAGAACAACTCTGTATTGATTTGCATTGAAGCCTCCCTCTAAGTGGAGCGGTTTGGTAAATAACACAAACCGACAGTTTAAATATCACAGCTTCAATCATTTCCCACCTAAAATTACTTAAAATGTCATTATCATTAAGATGCATTTCCATCAAACAATTCTTTTGGACTTATTGCAACGTGCATTTGTTTGAGTATCATTTTGCTCTTGTCGGAAACGCTGAGAAACAACGCGCAACAAAAAGGCTCGATAGGAGTTTAAGTGATCGTCTCTGAAGGCTAATACATTCGTTAATGTTTACTTCCACGGCCAAATCATTGGACTGAGTAGCTGAATAAATTCACTCGAAAAAATGCAGAGTTTGTTCCAGCCCTAAGAATAACTAAATGTTTAAATGCCTGCCAAAAAAAGGACAACAGCATTTTATTGGAATAAGCACGGTACAATGCTCTATTAACACATTCATAAGATGTGTTAGAATTAATTAACTGCGTGCCAAGAGCAACAGTGACACTTCCTGTGTGTGTGTGCGTGTGTTTGTTCTCGGCTGTGAAGTCCATTTCAACACGAGCCCTAATGAGATTGCAGCAGCTGCAGTCGGCGCTGGTGACCTTAAAGTCACCGGGCTGTGTGCGGTTGTGCATTTTTAAAAAGTTTCGGGATCAAAACTAGAATGAGCATCAATTAGACCGAGCGATTCGTGCAGCGGAAATTTGGAGGAAAAAAAAAAAAAAAAA